TTCAAATCAGCAAGACACTCTTCTTTTATGAGTCCACAGCTAACAAATACAGATGAAGGCATCAGATATAACTAAGAGCACATTGCTTTATAGAATGTAAGTGCATCAGACATTTCTTCAACATTAGAGAGAAACCAAAACAGAAATACAAACAAAGGAAGGGGGAAGACTCAAGAAAATTAACAAAAAAAAAAAAAAAAAAAGGAAAAAAACTTTATTTAAAAATGGCCCTCTAATCTCAGAAAGATCGTTAATGAAACATCCATAAAATAAAGAAGAAAATGCTGTGAAAAGGGAAAGAAAACAAGAAGATGTTCTTGGAAATTGAAATTTTCACAGCCAAAATAAAAAATTCAATATATAGAAGAAAAGTATGACTTAGAGGCTCAATCCAAGAGGTCCAACAACCTACTAGTAGGAGTTCCAGAAAGAGGACAGAAAAAATAGGGGAAGAAATTATCAAAGAAATAATAAAAAGAAAAATTTCCAGAACTAAAGTTGATGAGTTCAGGTAGTGAGTGGGCCTACTGGATGTCCAGCCCAATAAATGAAAGAAAGACTTATAGTAGGGCATATTCCTATGAAACTTTGGAATACCAGATACTAAGAACTCTGGGTTTGATGGGGATAGGAGTACGACGGAAGGAAGTAGTCACATGCCAAGAAACTGGAATCAGAATCATTAACCTTGGGTGCTAGAAGAAAATTAATTTGGAGGGTATGCCATTTTCAGCTTAGAATTCTATACACAGCCAAACTATGAATCAGTGTGTAAACAGAAAAAAAATAGATATGTAAACATTTATAAAATCCAATTCCCATGTACCTTTTTTATTAGTTACTGGAAAATATGCTTCAGTGATGTAAGGGAATAAACCAAGAAAGAGAAAGTCATGGATAGAATCCAAAAAAAAAAAAAAAATGGAATTCAATCCAGAGGAGTGGCAAAGGGAAGTCCAAGGATGACAGCTATGCAGCAGGCCTGGAGAGCAGCCAGGCCAGAACTGAATCAGAAGAATGGAAGGCTCCACAGGGGGAGGGAGGCAATGGGTGAATTATTAGATGTGCTTGGACATTCAGGAATAAAATACTGCTAGAAATAGGGAAAATCTGATGGATTTTTGAAGGAAATAGAATTAAAAATTTAGTTCCTCAGTCACACCAGCCACATTTCAAGTAATCAATAGCCACATGAGGCTAGTGGCCACTATATTGGACAGCACAGATATAGACATCTCTATTATCACATAAAGTTCAGCTGTACAGCACTGGCTTAGAGGAAGGCTTATATAGCCAAAGAATGAGCCTGTCTCTGCTGAAGAATCCTCTAAGAACTTGAGACTCAGATTCCAAGTATGGGCTGGGCTGTGGCTCACGCCTGTAATCCTAGCACTCTGGAAGGCCGAGGCGGGTGGATTGCTCGAGGTCAGGAGTTTGAAACCAGCCTGAGCAAGAGTGAGACCCCGTCTCTACTATAAATAGAAAGAAATTACTTGGCCAACTAAAATATATAGAAAAAATTAGCCGGGCATGGTGGCACATGCCTGTAGTCCCAGCTACTCGGGAGGCTGAGGCAGAAGGATTGCTTGAGGCCAGGAGTTTGAGGTTGCTGTGAGCTAGGCTGATGCCAGGGCACTCACTCTAGCCTGGGCAACAAAGAGAGACTGTCTCAAAAAAAAATTCCAAGTATGCAAACTCAGACTTGTGGGGGGAATGGGGGAAAAGGGCATTTATTGAAACCTTAAAATTTGTACCCCCATAATATGCTGAAATAAAAAAAAAGAAAAGAAAGAAAAAGTAAATAAATAAATGATGAAAAAAAATTCCAAGTATGCATAAGGAAAGGTGAGATTGAGACATACTTCTGAAACAAGGATTAGTTACAATCAGTCTCCCCCCCCCTGCCATTTTGCATAACACACGCAGCAGCCAGGCATCATCCAACCTCCAGATTAAAATTAAATAAATAAATAAAAGTGTTCTTTAAAAACTTTTAAGAGCCTAGAGGAAAGACCTTCATATATTCTGGCATTCAGGGGCCATTTGATGTAACATTATAGTAATTCTAAAATGGAGCCTATCAATCAGAAAGCTGGGCCACCTACACAACTTTTTCCTGTGTTTCTCTTAAAAATGAAAAACCAAGGACCACCAGACATTTAAGGAATGCCTCCAGTGCAAAAGAATGTGAACAAAGTAAAGAAACAAGTAAATGACCTTAGAGGAGATGAAGATAATCAGAGGAGCAGAAGAAAACTTTAAAGTACACATTGTCCTCCAAGATCAGGGAAAATATGTAGATTAAAAACAAGAACAAAATGCTTTGAAGGAAAAATAATCAGAGACCCAAGCAGATCCCATGCAAATTAAAAATATGATTGTCAGAATTAAAACTTTACTAGAAGGGGTAAAAGATAAAATTGAGGTTAAGAACCAAAAAGTTGAACAACTGAAAAAGAACCATATCAAAGCACATCATCGTGAACTATCAGAATTGCACACACACACAAATGCCTTCAAAGGAATAAGAATCAAAGTGGTCTGAGCTTCTCATAGTAGAGCAGTGTCTTCTAGGTTCTGAGGAAAATTATTTTCAGCCTGCAGTTCTCTAACTAGCAAACTATCAGTCAAGTGTGAAGGTAAAAAATAGACTTTTTCAGACAGGCAAAAACTTCCAGAAATTTCTTTTCTAGTATTCTTTCCCTTAAGAAGTTAGAGATATGCTCCCCCCAAACAGCCTAGGCAATAACAGACAAGAAGGGGAATAGGACCTCTGCCCCTTGCTGGTCTCTCACCTGTTATCCCTCAACCGTTCCCCACCCACTTCACCCTAGGCTGCCTGGTGCACTTCTTGTCCTGAGACATAAGGAAGGTTTCCCAGCCTGTTTTCTGTCTGGAATCTGCATGGCCCACTTTCTTAGTTCATTCAGGTCTCTGTTCACACATCCTCTTATCAGAGAGACCTTTTCAGTGCACTTTAAATAAAATAGGCCACCATTGTCACTGCACAGTCTATCTCCTGAGCTTATTTTATTTTTCTCCATAGCACTTTCTCACTATCATGTATTTTGTCTGTATTCACCTGCTGCTAACACTGAATTATAAACTCAGTAATGGCAGGCACTTTTTCTTGCTTGTTTATTGCTTTATCTCCAGTGCCAACGTCTGTCTATAGTAGGTGCTTAGTCATCTTTGAATGAATAAACAAATAAATGAGTTAATTAACTGGGACTTAGAAACAATGGGAACAACCCATTGTTAGGCAGCTAAGGGAAATTCTAAGTTGATAGCAGTCCAGGTTAGAGCAGGTCTGAGGGTCCTGGAAAGGAGGTCTCCGAGAAAAATTGACTCAAAAGGATATTGATGAGGTGGAGAGTTGGGGGGAAAAGGTAGCTATAACAAGAACAAATATTGGAGGAGGGGACTATTGTAAGAATGGAAATGTGGCCTCATATACTACTTGGCTCAACGGCGAACAATATTTAGAAATGAAAATGTAAATGTATTATTTAAGTAATAATAGAGGAATTACAAATAAGATATAAACATGTTGAGAAGATGGCAAGAAGGAATGTGAGGGCCATAGTAAGCTAAATCCTCATCTATCATAGCAGCTTGGCAAAGGTAATGAATAAGTTACTGAGAAACAACAAGATGATCATAAATGTTTAGCAGTATGGAGATAACTAGTGGACAAACAGCTAAAAGAGTTAAAGAGAGTTTCCTCTGGGGAATGGGTCTAGAGGTGGGAAACAATAAAAAAAGAAACTATAGTTTTTCACTGTAAGCATTTCTGTGATGTTTGATATATAAACTGTGTGTGTGTGTGTTATCTTGATAAAACTTTAAACAAGCAAAGTAGAGGCAAAATGTAAAAAATTAATCTGAAACTAAAATTCCTTCTAATTTAAACCAAGGGGCAGGGGCAGGGGCAGGGTGGGAAGAAGGAATGGGAACAGTGCAAGTTTGCTAAGGGCCTGCCTTGTTTAGCCAAAATGGAATTCAATGCACAAAGCATTGAATGACAATTTTCTTACCAGTATAAGAAAGCCACATAAATTCGTATTATCTCTGGCTTTCTTCTTCTTTTCCAAGTATTTGACATCTTGAATATGAGCATCATTTTGCTCATTTTGCAACCAGTATAATGGGACTAACCTTCATTGAAAACTCTTAGAGATCCTTTAAACCTATTTTTTAAAATAAATATTTAAAAAAAAGGAAAAGCCAGTATAGTTTCATGTTAATAACTGTGTTTATTTCCTTGGTATACATGATTTATCTATAATTGTGTTTCTAATCTTTAAATCATAATAACACTTTTAGTCAGGTACAGTTACGTATGTCATCTGCTGTATTATCTCACATTAGGCCATCGAACTGCTAAACTTTGCTATTGAGAAGCCACGTGAGGTTGAGAAGGTTCTTTTATAGCACGTGCTCTTACTTCCAGACACTGTGCATGTTGCCTGACTCGCATGCCTCTCCTGGCCTCACCAATACCTCAAATCAGATAGCACTTGCCAAAAGAAAAAGGAAAGAACATGAGTTTACAAAAGTTAATTTGACATTTGTGTTTATTCTGTATATTCTAAGTGTTTGACTTTTTATTTTTTAAATGTAGCTAACGCCGCCTACCTCGGAGGCCAAGAAATGATGAAGGTGGTAGAGAGAGACAACGAACTCATAAAGGAACATTTATCTAAGGTAATCATTTTGGTGCTGCAAGGGGCTAAGTAACAAGTAGATGGGCAGAAATATTTACTGAGGATAAAGGACTAAAATTGGTTAGAATCTGCAAGACCTCAAAGGTTTATAGGTTGAGACGAAGTTCTACTAGTTAAAATTAATGTTATCCTTGAAAGTTGCATAGAAAGTAATAAAGCTGATTTCATAGTTACTTAAATATGTTTTGCCACCTGGTTTTGTTGAATTTATTTTTAGAATCAATACTTTTCTATTTTGTTAGTGCATTTCAGCCTCTTTGGGCCTTGTACTGAGAAGATTCACTATTTATGGAATAAATGAGTTATATTGAAATAGAAATAAAATAGTGGAAAAGAACTAACATTATGTATGACCTGGGAGCTAGTGAGCCTGTCTTTCTTACTCTCCAATGCATAAGAGTAGAAATGTCCTACTTTTGACACCAAGACCAGTTTTCTGAAATATTCATCATTTGTAAGTTATCCTGCAAAAGCTAAAATCATGCACAAACACATTTAGAGTTCCAATCTCTGAAACCATCAGGGGACTATGGTTTAGAATATGTCTAAGCACCCTAGAATTTGGGTGGCTGTGGTACTCCTATGGCATTATTTTTCTGTCCATCCTGAGTAGGAAGGAGCTATACTATACTATAGCCTTATACTTATACTTATACTTATACTTATAGTCTTATACTATAGCCACTAGTCACATGTGGTTATTTGTGGCTAGTCTGAATTGAGATGTACTATAAGTGTAAAATATACATTGGATTTCAAAAACTTAGTACTCTCCAAAATAGTAAAATATTTCATTAATTTTTATATTGATGACACTTTGAAATTACAATATTTTAGATATAGCGAGTTAAATAAAATATATTGAAAGTAATTTCACCCATTCTTTTAATCTTTTTAAAACATAATTATTAGAACATTTTTAAATTACATATGTGTCTTGCTTTATACTTCTGTTGGACAGTACTACACTTGATCTTTATAGTTGGAGCTGAACTGTGATATCTACTGGGTGCAGTGAAATGATCCCTGCTGAGTGGCATATTCGTATAGGTCCTGGGAACCTAAAATCTGCAAGTAAAACCTTAGCTACCCTTTTGGGCTTAGAATCCCCTTATAAACTTTGATACGTTTGACTTAAACTTGCCTGCAGTGTTAATTCATATTTCTATAATCTCCTAATACAATTATTTTAAAGCAAGAAGTATGTATGTTCTTAAAAACTATTTTCAGACTATTGCAAATATTCACCCAGAGAGGACTTTGAAAATGCCAGTCTGTTTTTGTCTTATGGATATAGTGGTCATCATATTTTTGAAATAGCACTTGGCTGGAGATTGAACTTTTGAAACCAGGAGGAAGCCCTCACTAGCTGAATGGAAAAGGTTGGGGCCTTAGGAGACCCTCTCTCCAGGGCTTTCAGCTGCTTCCAGTCATAGAGGGATGTGAAAATACAAGAAAAATGGTATTTTATTTTTCAGTTAAATTATAAGTGAATCTGTTTCAAAAATGCATTTAGGTTTTCCAGATTTGGAAGTTCATAAAAACAACTCAGCTCTCAGTTAATAATAAGACTGGCAGATGCTCACTTCCAAAATTCACACTTGCTGAATGACTAGACCCATCATATGTCAGAGCCCATCTTACCACCTGTGGAAGCCAGCTGCTGTAAAATACTCATCATCTCTGGATTCTGCTTGTATGTTGTGCTCAGGAAAAGGTCAAAGAAAGGTGCTAACTTATTCCTGTCCTAAGTTAAATCCATATGCACGTGTAATCATTCCCAGATAGAGGTCTGTTCATGGTAACTGTGTCAGGGCTGTAAGTTTACTGAAACTTTTATGGGAGAAATATGGAGGCATAATGGTAGATGGCAGACATTTCAAGGTTAGTATTAACACACAGTCATGCAAATAAACTTCTAACTCAGGGAATAGTTTTGTTTTTAAGATGGTGTTAAATATACCTATAGGATTGGGGCAACAAGGAATTGTTTACTTTAATGATATAAAGCTATCTTGCAGTTAATAGATTATCTGTTCTACCAGCTAAATTTGAGCTCTCTGCTAGAATAATACAATTCTAATTCCTAAGTGAAACTAGGTACAAAGAGACAGGAAGTTTATTGCAACTTTTTGTTTCTGTAATGAAAAAGAGGAAACATGCTGTAATTTAATATTGGTAAAAGTTGAATCAACATATGTCTCAGTCTGCTTGGGAAAAAGGAAATTTAAAAGTGCACATAGTTCTAGGAAGATAGTGAGCATTGCCTCCTGCCTTCGAAACACCCCTGATAACTAGTCAAACTGGAAAACCAATTCCTAGGATTAGAAATCTCCCTATTTTAGATATTTTGATCAATTTCCACCCAAAGTCATTCAGAAACTGCATTCCTATGCAGGGCTGTCCCATGTGAAAAGTTTTCGAGCTGCACATTTTCTTGCAAAAATCATTCCATATATCTCAGTTATTCAACTTAAAGCAGTTCTGAAAAATGTATCTTTGTTCTATCCAGCCAGGATGCCACAGAAAAGTTAGTCTGAAAATACTCTCTTTACTGTGTCTTGCAGATGGCTTTCTACTTTTTTCTCCTCCCCTGGAAAACTGTCATGCAGTTATTAGCAGGCTGTGGTTCCAAATTCAAAGTTTCTACTTATTGATTTCCATTGCCCACATGAAGAGAGCTTTTTATATTCTTGAGGAAAATAGGCTTTTCTTTTTTTTAGAGAGACAGGATCTTGTTCTGTTGCCAAGGCTGTAGTGCAATGGCCCAATCATAACCACCATGCCCACTAGTTTGTTTTTTTTTTATTTCATGTAGAGACAGGGTCTTGCTATGTTGCCCAGGTTGGTCTCAAACTCCTAGCCTCAAGCAATCCTCCTGCCTCAGCTTCCCAAAGTGCTGGGATTACAGGTATGAGGCACGCACCTGGTCAGGCCTTTTTTTTTTTTTTTAATTCTGAAAAGTTTACTGAGCTGATTGTCTTCCTTCCTAGAGACTTTATACACAGTATTCTATGGTTGTGATTTTTTGTGGTGCTTCAACATAGGATCAAGTTATTTCCCTTTCCTGGAGCAAATATAGCAGACTCACAGTTGTTTCTAAAAGCGTATACCATGGTTTATGACATCTTAGGTTATGTTATTTCTTCACCTGACTAAATCCTACTTGTCCTTTAAAACTTGGCTCAAATGGCATCCCTTAAGAGGCCTCAGCTTCTGGTTTGGCCAGATGGCCCTCCACTGGCCTCCATGGCTCCCTATGTAAAGTTATAATACCTCATTTACCACACAGTATTTAAATGACCCGGCTTCCCCTCTCCCCAACCTTGAGGTAAGGAACTATGTTTTCCATCTTGATATCCTTTTGGACCTAACACATTTCATGATACCTGGTAAACAGTCAATGAATATATACTAGATAGATGAGCAGAAAGACAGATAGATGGAGAAGCCATTAATTTAGAACATGAATTCTGAACCATTTTGTGCCATGGATCTTTTTGGCTTTCTCATAAAGTATCTGGACCCGTACTCAGAATATGTTAAGTGCGTAAAATAAATACATGAGATTACAAAAGAAACGAATGATATTGAAATATAGTTATCAAAATATTTTAAAAACAAATTTGTAGTATAGTAATATATGCATCTTTATTTATACATTTAATATTGAGATATAATCTCGGTCAGAATTGCTATTATAAATTTGTAATGATGAGTATAAATAATTTTTTAGTTATCTACAGCAAGTTTAATATGATTTGAAAATATCCATAATTTTTATAGATGACAAAATATAGGCATTATAAAAGTATGGTTTATTGCCTATATTTATAATTGAAGGAAATACTAAATTATAGTTAGAAGTTAAATAAAGATGTAATTCTTTTCCAAGTGTACATAACACCTTCTCCCTACCCGTGGACCTACCTGGGCCTGTCAACCATGACTGAAGAAGGCCTGCATTAGAGAAACTGGAAAAAGCTGGGTAGCATGATATTGTGGCTTGGGCAGTAGCCTAAGAACAAGAAGCCATGATATGCTGCACTAAAGAGGTGATTTTAAGTTGTTGGGGATCCATTGAAGGGTTTAAGCAAGGGAGTAATAATCAGGGTGATAATTAAAACATTTGACAACCACATGACATAGCCACTGACCAATCAGAACGTGTGCCAGCTGTAAACAACCAGTTCAGAGGTACCAATTCATATCATGTACCATGATTAACAAATCAGAGGGATTATTTTTGTGGAAATGTTGAATTTTGGGAAAGGGTGTAATTTGAGTAGGGGAGACTATTTACAAGGCTTTTTATAAGAACTAACGTGGTAGGAGCCGGGCGCGGTGGCTCACGCCTGTAATCCTAGCACTCTGGGAGGCTGAGGCGGGCGGATTGCTCGAGGTCAGGAGTTCGAAACCAGCCTGAGCAAGAGCGAGACCCCGTCTCTACTATAAATAGAAAGAAATTAATTGGCCAACTAATATATATATAAAATTAGCCGGGCATGGTGGCGCATGCCTGTAGTCCCAGCTACTCGGGAGGCTGAGGCAGCAGGATTGCTTGAGCCCAGGAGTTTGAGGTTGCTGTGAGCTAGGCTGATGCCACGGCACTCACTCTAGCCTGGGCAACAAAGCGAGACTCTGTCTCAAAAAAAAAAAAGAACTAACGTGGTAGGATTGGGAATGGAAAGATTTAAGAAGTAGAATCAAAGGCACTTTATACTAACAGGATAGGAGAGAATGGAGATGGAGGAACCTAAGGTTATTTCTCTGTATCTGGATTTGGTGCAAAGGTAGAGAATACAGGAGGAGAAGCAGCAGCAAGTTGTGAGAGGTAGTTGAGCAAGTCATTCATTTTGGCACTTGTGTTTGAGACACCTGTGGGACATCGGAGTGGACACGTGTCTGGCAGTTTCTGGATATGTGGGTGTGAAGCTTAGAAGGATAGTCTGGGCTGAATTTGAATGGGAAGTGATGAGG